GGCCTATGAGTTTGTCGCTGTTGGCCCCGGGGGGTCACTGTATGTGGTCGCTGGTGGGGATCTTCCGGTTCTCCCCTGTGGTCCGTTCTGGGGGGTGGGTGAGTGGTTCGTCCTGTGTGGGTGGCTCTGGGGGCTACGCGGTCGGGGTCCCTCCTGGGGGTCTTGGGCTCTGGTCCCCCCTTTTTCGTCTGCCTCTGGTCTTGGGGGTCGGGTCTCTGCTGCTTCACAGTTACTAATAAATGTTCTATTAGAGAAGCCTTATACACTTATGCATGCTCACAACCACACACAAATGGAAGCAGGGATGTTTATGTAGGCTTTATATGTAGATATATAGATATGTATGTGAGTGTATATTCATGTGTATGTATGTATGTATGTATATAGGCGTAGGTATGGGTATATATATTTATGGAAACTTACTGCAAAGCCATGAATATTTTAAGTTCTTTATACATATGTATTTTGTTGCTGTGTTTTGTCATGTTCTTTGCAGGTGAACATACAGTGGCCGGGTGTTTTGCCGTGTGCTCTCTTTGTGTATATTTCTTATATTTTGGAGTCTTACTTTGTCTTTTCTTTCTTTCTATCCTATAAAAAAAAAAAAAAACTACACTAGATAGTCACTATAATAAATATTTCATAATAATGGTGTGGAGAGGATGGCTGTAAGGGGAGAAGGGAGGCCATCTATTAAAAACAAACAAAAAAAAAAACAATTGTTCCAGTAAAAATGATAAAGAAAGTCAAATAAACAAAACCGTGCTTCTCAATGACCAACAACAGAAATACCAGAACTTCCTCCTCCAACTCCAACTCACGACAGCGAGATCTGATGTCTCAAGGTCTCAAAGTTATTATTATTAATTCTTTATTTTATCAGGAAGAAAAATCACACAGAGTGTAAAAACCTCTTTTTCAAGGGAGTCCAGGCCAAGATACAGTACAGATACATAGTTACACATTAAATTACAAAAGGTAATAAGAAGCACAAGAATATGAAATACATTACTACACGATACTAAAAATAACATGTACTGTACTTCCCACCATAAACGGCGCATCAGTCCAAATATGTCTAATAAAGTGGAAAAATCATAAATATGTCACTTCGCCGTATATGTCGCATCTATTATGCATCACCACTGACAACCTGGAAACGAGGGCCGGTGTTGTGCCAAAAATCGAGTTATAAATATGGGAAAAAACATATATTAGTCACTTCGGTGTACAAGTTGCAGGACTTGCAAATTTATGCAAAAAGGTGTGACTTATACAGTGAAAAATACGGTACATGCAACAGAATTAAGCACGAAACTCCTCAGTATCAATTTAGAAGCTCTCACAGATAAGAAGTCTGTAATTTTTCAGTCATTCTGCAACATATTCCAGGCAATCGGTGCACGATGGTGACCGAGATCATCTTAAATTATAATCTGGGTATGACTGCGCTCAGCTCAGGCAATCACTGATGATAACTCCATCACTTTTAATTATCCAAGTAAAAATTGAATTGGGGCTCCAGAACCATTTGTATATATATTTTTTATAAAGCTACATGCATGCAGTCAATAAGAATAATCCATTTAAACAGAAAACATTGCCACATGTTTTTTTTACAGTGATGATGTAACCGTGTGTTTGCAGAGTCAACGACCCGACGGCCCCCGGGTCATGTTTTAAAACTGTATCAAACATCAATCTTTATCACACTAAACTCTACCGCAATATCTACAATTATTATACCTACAGCTATATTTTTGGTTGTTAAGGTTGCTTAGCTGTGGCGGCCATCTTGAACTGGGCTGACTAAAGAAGAATCAGTTGTAGACGTTCACCTAGTGATTCTTTCATGAGAATTTCATTCAGAGATATTTTGCTAACATGCCAAAAGAATATAACACAATATGAACTTGTGGCAGTGAAGGTTTTGATTTACTAAGAGGGAAATTAAAAGCAGATAGACAAATAAATCTGATTGTTACTGCAACGATTTATCCTTTATACTCTTTAAAAAAACTTTTATCTGGGAAAATTTGGCATGGAAAATACATTTAACTTACAAGAGTTCATACTTATTCATCAAGCGCTTCATGTTGGCCTGTTTCTACCTTTAGGTTTAATTTTTCATAAATTTGCCTTTCTGATTTGTTCCAGATTGAAAAAAAAAAGTGATTTCTGAGACCCAAACTAGGGAATTTGATGAAAGCGATCATCTTATTTTGCCTCCGTTTCTGTTTGCATTTCCTTTAACAACAAAATCAGTTAAAGAAAATGTTTCTAAACTTGATTTTATGGTAAAATAGTACTATTAAAATGCTGTCATACACAGAAGTTAATGAATTTCTTGTTATCCACTCATGAACGTTGTTGCATCTTACCAGCGCTGATGAAGGCTCCCAGGAGAAAGGCTGCCTTGTACGGGTCCATGTTGAGGGTCTCGCTCTAGCAGCTCATCATCATCACTCAGGCGTCCCTCCAGGTTTATCAATCAGCTCCTTAAAGCATGCGAGGAGGACAAACAGGACAGCGCAGTCAATCATTGGCCTGAGCAGGACAGCAAACAACAACAGGTCAAACTCCATGTTTGTGGGAGATTTCAGAACAGTTCTGCAGGAACGTAGCTTTTGATTCATAAAGAGGCCGGACGTTGTTCGGGTATTACGCTGCAACGCGCTCAGCAGGAGAGCACGGAGTTTTAATCAGAACCGAGACAGTTCTGCTGTTTCACACCCACCTCATCAGATTTGAGACAAAAAGCTCCTGAACTTTGACCTCTCTAAAAGCCTCGTGCTCCATTTCGTTGATGCGCTACTTCTGTTTCTTTAATAAAACATTCGGTCCACTAACAGCAGGCGTTTTGATAATTATGTGATCGCTTATTAAGCATCCACACTATTGTGATCCTGTTTATGACTTTTTTCTTTTAGTTCCTACACTTCGTCCGTACATCTGTCTTGTTCCACAATTTTTGTGCTATTTCAGCAAATCAAAAATCAAAACGTTCAGCTCGTTCAGGACAATCCTGCTATGACTTTAGGTATTGGTGCAACTTTAGCTTTTGGAAATATTTAGCCTTTTCTGACATTTTTTTCTCATAGAAAATGAATTAAGCTCATTTTACATCTTTCAAGTCTTTAGATCTGTTTACAACCTTTTACTGCTTCTTTCACATTTTGTTCGGCTAATTTCAGCTGTTTTTTTGGCTGTTTTGTGCTCGTTTTAGATTATTTCTGCTAACTACATTTTTGTGCTTTTTCTAACTTCTTTCTGCTAATTTCAGTTTGGTATGCTCCTTTCAGCTTATTTCTGCTATTTCAGCTACTCTTTAGCTGTTTTCTGCTAATTTTTGCTTTTTCAACTAATTCCACATTTTTTGGCACTCGTTTAAACTTTTTTCAGCCTAATTCAGCACAAATATGCTCTCTGCACTTGTTTCTGGAAATTTAAGCTTCTTTCTGCTTTTTTAGCTACATCGGCAATTTATTATTATTATTATTATTTGCAAATTTATGCTTTTTGTTAGATAATTTCCACTTTCTGTGCTAATTTCTGCTTCTTTAAGCCTAATGGGGCACAATTGTACTCTCTCCACTTCCTTTTGGTAATTTAAGCTTCTAATTTTTTTTGCTACTTTTCAGCTGTTTTTTGCTAATGTCAGCTTAAAATTTGTGCTAATTTCCGCTTATTTAAACCTAATTCAACAAATATGTGTTATTTCTGCTTTCTTTAGGCTTGTCCTTCTATTTCAGCTACATTTCATCATGTTTTAGCTGTTTTCAGCTAGTTCTTCAGCAATTAGCATTCTCACTGCATTTTTTTTCAGGAAATGCAATCTCTCTGGTTCATCATTTAGAGTCACTGTATTTTATTTTATGAAATAAATATATTGAAACGTATTGATAAAGCTCGTCAAAGGATGGATTTGTTCTAAATCTGGCGTGAAAGGCGGCAGGTGACAAACATTCCTTCAAGTTAATTTTTAATTTAATCAAGATTAATTTATAAACTTATCTCGATTTGAACCAGTTGTGAGGAGGGAGTTTAGTCTAAAAGGATTCAATCCAGACCGCTCGTTCACAGATTAAAACGACAGATTAGCCCTTGAGCTCTCTGGATTCAACAGGATTATCATCATCGCCGCTGAAAGAGATCACTGCACTCGTTTTCAAACTAGTTACTTTGAAACCGCCTGCGTTGTTAGATGGTTCGGCGGCGAGTCGTGTTTGGTTTTCATATCACCACAGAGTTCTGCTGCTCTGAACGAGTCATTTTTAAAATTCAACAGGTTTTCGTTTGTTGTGCTGTGGCAGTTCTTGTGCTTTCACTGGATCAGTCTTTCCTCCTCTTCTCCCTCAGTCAGTACTCTTCCAGTCAGCTGGCCACGCCCATCTACGCCCTGTTTTCATCAGTCACAGCTGCAGCCACTCTACTCATCACCCCGTCAGTTTGGTCCCTCAGCTTCACCTCCCTCTTCACCATTATTGTGCTTCATGCCTCGTCTCCTCATGTTTTCATTTGTAGTTAAATATACTTTGACTGCCATTGCAGCATTTTTTTTTCTTTATTCATAAAGTTAGATTTTAAGCTTCCTGCATGAATCTGCATCCCTGACGTTTATTCCTCAAAACCTGACAGAATAATAAAACAATAAAATACTTTGTAGCCATTAGGCTATTAAACCGTTGTTGATACGTAGCCAAAAGCAATACTGCGTAATTACAGCAGGTTAACATAACTTTAAGGCAAGGTGAAGTGAATTAGAGACTGTAAAACTGACGTAGCAAACAGCTAACAAAGATAAAAGCAAACAGGCCTACATACTGTAGATGTCCAATTAATGAAATATTCAGGAGACAAATCAACACCTCTTCCAATTAATGGCTATTTAACAAGATCTAAGCTACATCACAAGATCGTTGCTTTTAGTAATTATAGTAGCCTAATGTTACTTTCTCATCTAGTAGTTTAGTTTAAGAAGAATTTCAATCTTTAAAACAGTAACATTTTCTGCTGAAACCCCAGCATGTCGTCCTCAGCAGCTAAAAGTAAACAACAGTTAGCATCTTATGTTATTAATTAATTATAAGCCTATCTTACAGCAGGCTGTAGCTACATAAGAGAAAACCTTTCAGGCTCCAAGAGATGACGCAGCTGCAGACATTTATCTGTTGCTCGTTTCAATTCAATTTCAGTTCAGTTCAGTTTGTTTATTTAGCTCCAAGTCACAACAGAAGTCGTCTCGGGGCACTGAACAGGAACATTCATATGTAAAAATAATAATTTAACACGATTTATCTGAGGAGCAGACTGCTTTATATTTAACTACATCACATAATTCTCATCTAGAGCAAGCGTGAAGGCGACAGTGGAAAGGAAAAACTCCCTCATGAGGAAGAAACCTTTAGCAGAACCATGCTCAGGACAAACGGTCGTCTGCTTCGACCGGCTGGGTTTGGTAGGAATAGATACACAATGGCAGGTCAAGAATCACATAAGACAGAAACAGTATCAAATGAAAACTATTCAATTTTAACAATTCATTTAAGGAAATGAGGTCGATTTGTCTTCCAAGAGTCTAAGCCTATCCATAACAAGCCAACCCTAACTATAGGATTTATCAGAAAGAAAAGTCTTAAGCCCAGTCTTAAAACTGGACAATGTGTCCGCCTCATGGACAGAAACTGGAAGTAGGTTCCACAAGAGAGGAGCCTGAGAACTGAAAGATCTTCCTCCCATTCTGCTCTTGGAAACTATAGGAAACGCGAGTAAGCCTGCAGTCTGAGAGCGAAGTGCTCTGTTAGGAAAATATGGAACAATAAAGACCTCAAATTCTATTTTTTTCCTAAACTGGGCACGTGATGGATTTGACATGTTCTGGTCCATCTTCCAATTGACAGTCCCCCAACATGAGTCAGAACAACTTGGTCCTAAACTAATTCACCCTCCTTGGGGCGCCGATTGGTTTTTGTATTGTTTTTTTCAGCAATTTCACAAATAAGCTGTGAACAATTGGCTCTATTCACAATATTAAGAATGAATTGTGCTTTGTTCGGAGCTATCAATGGTATGATTTACTTAGCAAACCAATTGTATTAAGGTTTAGGTTTATTTAGGTGCATCCCTGGCTCAGCAGGGAAACGACAGAACCCCCCTCCCCTTCTTTCACAGCCACTGTGTCAGACCTCAGCAGAAGCTTCACACCCTGCAGCTGGAGGAGGGAGTCCACTCCCCACCAGTGGGCAGGCTGGGGAGGCTATGTGTGCTTTATTTTTACTTTTTTTGAGGGGGAGGGGAGGAACGGGCGTTCGTGCCACCCTTGACAAGATGCTGCCCTGAACAGCTGCTTATATCGCCCATATCAAAAACCACCACTCCACTGTGTCAGAGTCTGCATCCTGACTCCACCATTCCCTGATAGAATAGTGTTGAGGATCAATAAATATAGTAAATTACATTTATTTTAAGGTACAGCAGAACAAACTCATGCATGTGTATATGCACGTGCACACGCACAATATAAACTTTATAACGCAGCCTTCAGTATTGAAACAAACGCCATAAAATACAAAAATCATGACATCCTAATTTGATATTTTGGATTTATGCTGCAAATTATTTTATATAAAAAAAAAAGCTTCTGCCTTTTTAACCTCCTAATATCTTTTATGTAGAGTTTATTTCATTGCAAAAATGTTCCTTTAAGTGTAATTAAAGGTTTAGCCTTGCTTGCTTGGATAGGAATCTGTGCGATACCTGCTCGCGGCCTCCAGGGCGAGCCATTGATCGTAGGCCTTGAGGAGGGTCGACTCCTCTGCATGTTCACCTGAGAGGAACACAATGCAGTCAGGAACACTTCATCTGCAGCCTGGAGAGAAAAACAGCAACTGTTAAAGGTGTAACAGCTAGTGTCAAGGATGGGAAGTACAGCAGTTTTAAAGATCATATCCATAAATACTCAACGTTGGGGGTTGACGTGTTTTCAGGTCAGACGACTGAAGGATGCAGTCTGAGTGGTTCTGATGGAGCGGACGAGTTCAAGCTTCAAAAAACAAACTGGTTTCACACTTAAATCTGTTCAAATCCCCCCACAGGTCAGGAAAAATATTGGAAATTAAACCATGCTTTGATTTAAAAACTTACACAAAGATAAAGAGTGTTTTTTTTTTTTTGTTCTTTCTAGCCGTGCTCAACATCAACGTAAAAACCTTTAAAGCATTGAAGAGGCACCACCTCTCAGAGACTCAAACTGTAAATTGAATTATGTGCTTTTATTCCTGGGAGCGCGCTAAATTCTTTTAGATTTAATCACAGGACACAGCTTTTCTTTATTGATCCAACCAGAGAATAGTGAGTAAAAGTATGAAATCCTTGAAATAAACCACCCACGAGGAGTTTCAGATGGTTTGTAAGAGCAGCTGTCTGAATTT